GCAAGATGTGGGTACGTAGAGATAGATTCGGTTCCCAGGCCATCGACACACTACCAGGAACAGTTTCGGGGTTCCCAGGAGCTAGACTCCAGAGATCCTCCAACTCCGTCTTAACATTGTTGTCAAGGCTTTGATGCTGCCGTGTGATTGCTACGCACCTTTCAGCCAAGTGACAGACTAGACTCCTAGCTGACCACGGAATTTAGCTGAGGTGAGTATATAAAGGCCTCCTATATCCTACTTTCACAACTCTCACCTCACCCCCATCTACATTTCGTTAGCTCAATCCGCTGTCCCATCATGGTCTGTTCAATTCGTTTTTACGGAGTTTACCGATGAGCTAATACATTACAGCCAAACATCAGAGACCTGCCCAACGAGCTTTTGCTGTGGATTGTGTCGTTTTTGGACGGTAGTGCATTATTTGCCCTCGCAAAATCATGCAAAGACCTTGATTTAGACTGCAGCCCAGCATCTGGAAATACAATATCAAATTTCAGAACAGCAATCTTTTGCACCTGGCCATCAAATACGACAACGTTGGTCTTGCGGAGGTTTTGCTCCGGCACAACGCCAACATCAATGCATTTTACCGAGGCAAAACTCCTTTAATGAGGGCGCTCAAATACTCTTCCGCTGCTGTGCGGGACCTCTTGCTCAGTCGTGGAGACCTACACATCAACATTCAAAATCAAGCGCGGGAGAGCGCCCTGTGGTATGCTATCCACTACGGAACCTTTTCCGCCGTCAAAAGCGTCTTAAATGAACCCAACGTCCAGGTGGACATCAAGCACACACACGGCCGAACGGCGCTCCACCTAGCAGCCTTCGCAGGCAGAATAGGGCTCGTGCATCTGCTACTTTCTAGAGGCAGCGACCCTGATCTACAGGATGATTCGGGCCACTCGCCATGGGACTGGGCATGTCGCTTCAATAGACCCGTGATGGAAACGATTTTTTCAAACGATCCGATGGCCAAGGTGTTTCTTGGTACCCAATCATCACAGGAGGCTGAGCTACCTCTTCACCATGCGGTATCCTATGGGTCGGTAGATGCTGTCAAGCGGCTTCTTGGACAAAAGGGTCTGAACTTGGACGCCCACGACCCAAATGGTGATACGCCCCTCCATCTCGCCGTCCATAGCAGACGCCTCGAAGTGGTCAATATGCTCCTGAGTTACCCTCGTGCCAATGTGGACTGCAAAGACAAAGAAGGCAATACGCCTCTATGGCTGTCAACATACTTGTCATACGATGAGATAACCGAAAGGCTACTGGCCGAGATCGGCATCGATGTTAACTTCATCGGAGGCTACGGGAGGCGCGAGGGGCCTTCTACATCGCTTCATCACGCGGCAGCCAGATTGGACACTGCAGTTTTACGCCAGCTGCTTGCGGTGCCAGGAATAGATCTCAATCACTGTGTTGCAGGCCACTCTCCAATGTCTGCTGCCGCATCGCACGGAAGTGTGGACACGGTTGCTTGTCTACTGAGTATGGCGGGCATGGAGATTAATGGAATGGATTTAATAGATCCGCCTATTTGTCGAGCGGTTGCACATGGCCATCTCGATGTGGTACGACTTCTAGTGCAACAAGACGCACGTCTGAACATCAATGAAAGCACGATCGCAACTCACGACACTGCTCTCTGCATGGCTGCCCGTGGCGGTGACTTGGAGATGGTCCAGGCGCTGCTACGCCATGATCGAATTGATGTAAGCGTCAGAAATCGATATTCTGAGGATCCATTGATGTTGGCAGTCAAGGGTGGACATTTCCCGATTGTTGATGCGCTTGTGGTCAATCCCGGACTGAATTACTTCAGCCTGAAGAGATCGCTGGATCTAGCAAGGAACGGTTGCATCCTGAGGGCCATTCAAAGCAGAATGGAAGACGTCAATACTCCACAAAGATTGTTGAAGCGGTCTCCAAGGGGAAGGTTGGGTGGTCTGTTAGGGCTGGCGACGTCTACCCCAAGTAGCTCTTTCGATGCAATGCGAGACGGCCGATTCATTCGACCCTTCCTCCGCTAGCTATACTGCCCACATTGTCACTGGATCCGTATTTTGTCTATAATATATTGAACTAATAGAAGTGACCTAGAACAGGCCGGACTATCCACTGACACACTCCGCAAAGGCTATCATATGTCTTCTTAATGTGAACAACTAAAAAGACATAAGCTGGCATGCGCTAATCCTCTTCATTGTGAAATTGTTGGTTATTTTCCACGTTGTAAAAGACATAAGACAAATATGAGCATGCAATGCTTCACTCTTCTCTTGCGTTGTCCAAGAACCCTGGTAGATTGAGTCTGGAAGGGTGATCCCAGTCATCGAGTACGCGAGTCAATCGACCCCGAGATGATTCCAGTGCCTGCTCAAAGAAGCGCAGCCGAGAGAGCTGCTTGTCGTGGCGCAGCTGAAGTCCATCCCTCTCTTTAGTCAGGTGTCTGCTAGCTTCCTTCAAGGTCTGATTGCTCTGCTCTAGCTTCTGGCCATCGATGTGTTTGGACACGCACGACTCCCATAGGCGTCGATAGAGTCCGACAATTCGACCTGCTGGAAAGACGAACTTGGGATTGTCGCGTTCGAGGTCTCTTAGCACCTTCAAAATAGGTTGAAAGGGCTCTGTCGCCAAGGTATGTCTTGTTTCTGCTTCCTGTTGCGAGGGAGAGAGCTGCGACGGTCAGCAAGAGCATTGGAAGCTGAGCCGCTTTACTTACCAGTGGAGGGACATGATCAGAAGCCTCCTGCGAATTCACTTTTTCAGAACGATTGGCAATGCACTTGGCTGTTGTTATCCCTCCTTTTCCTGGTCTGGCGTGCTGTTAGGGGCTTCCGTCTTGATTGCAGGGGAAAGTCGAGTATCTGGGCAATAACATGCCCACTAATTCTTGGATGCTTTATAGACTAGGAGACACCGGTGGTAGGTACTCCGTCCCATTCTCACCATGAAAGTCAATCAGCGTAGTCAGCTTTCCAATCTCAGCACTTTGTTAGCAGTCCGTTTAATGATGGTGCTGGTGATCAGTCTCGTGGTGTTGATGGTTGGTGAATGTGCCTCATATTAGTGGCTTCCGGTGATGAACGGTCCAGGAGATATATATTCAATCACAACGCATTTCCCACAATCGTTTGAGTGCTCAGAAATCCCAAACGTAAATAGAGTAAAATCTAGAGGACAGAAAAAGGAAATCGAAAAAAGGATATCTATCTCAACCATGATCACCGGTTCAAAAGCTGACTCCTCGTCAACAAGGACGGCCAAGCTTCAACGGGTTGACGGGTTGAGTACGGTGCTCGCGCGACCGCGGCCTGACGCTTTCCGCAGCCTAGACGGACAGAACCACACACAGCTCAGACAATCAACACTCAAGCAAGGCCAGAAAATTTCCATGTTCCTTGGATGAAAAATGTGAGCGCTCTTGGTGAAATCAAAGAACAAACAGCTTCCATTGCCTCAGTATTAGGACCGTAGATTCAACAGTGAGCCAACGTTTCTTAACCGACTCACTTTGACTCATTCTCAACAAGACTCTAGCATTTTTTTTCTCGGTGGGCATCTAACATGACACCAAAAATTCGGCTGCAAATAGTTGCGGTAGAACGAAGGCATAGGTTGCAACAGACCTCACTTAAAATAGGCATCGTGTCCAGCGTTTGCTACCTAGCAGAGCACGTACGCGACAGGAGCCAAGAAATCTATAAATACGTCTTCTCCCTCCAGCAATTTGTTCTATAATTCTATCGCTTGCTGCGCAAAGTCGAGCAGGCCTTCGGTTCGAGGCACCTGATAAGTTCTTCCCTTTGACCTACTGGAATTTCCACTGTACTGACATCTATACTGTAATTACGTTGTGGACTGATAAGCTAGAAAGTGCATATGAGAATGAGATTCCCATCAGCCCCATGCCAGCCGATCAAAAAAGGAGATTTGGGTTAGCTGGTCAAAGTATGCGAACATCTGTCCACCATAACAGCGGACCACTGTCCCGCCCCTGAATATATCGACGCAAAAGGAGAATTCCTATACAGGTATGTAGATTTCAGCGCGACCCTTTCCGAGACTGGACTGACTTCAGAGACGATATGAAACAACCGGATCCTTGCATTCCATCCAATGCACGACGCGCAAAGCCACGGAGCCCTTTCCCGTGTCTCCTTTCAGAACATGTGAGTCCTGCATTGTCTCGCCGATCGACAAGCTAATGGTGGACAGGAAACCGTTGACAGCGCCCTAATGTGAGTCCGAACCAGCGGCGCCGTCAGTGCTCCGGGCAAGGTCATGGCTTACACACCATTTCTAGCCCTGCCACATCAAACCATGCAGCATGTCCTATGTGAAATACTGCAAATCAAAGGCGCGCGCCAACAACAGGACGCATAAGCTCGAGAACCTTGTTCTCTATGGTAAGGTGAGTGGATATCGCGGCTCTTGATGCGCCGGGTCCGATGATTTGTGCCAAGTCTGTGCCCCAGACACGAACACTACTGACATCTTCATGCCGTTGCAGGAGCAGCCCATCGCCAACCGCGCAAGGTCTCGTGGCGAGTTAACTATTCCGGCCGAGTTAGACAAGACCAAGGGGCCGACGCGCCGTCGCGTCTTCCCCTCCTCACCGCCTTCTCACTGAACGGCGGAGTGCCTCAACCTCTCGCCGCCTACGAGCAGCAGTTTCCCGATACGACAGTACAGTTTATTGTCAAACTTGAGTTCGTCATGCACCTTTACCGTCCTGTGAACTTGTCGGTTCATCCATCGCGGCTTCTCGAAGCGACAGGCGACCAGGTCGGGGAGAAATGCTCACTAACCGCTAACTGCAATGCTCTGCCCGTCGCATCGCGAAGTGGACGCGCCAAGGCTGGGCTGCAAGCAAGTAGTCTGGTGAGCAGTCTCATCCGAAACACCGGACGACTGGACGCCTTCGAGGACGACAGACTTGGGGTCGAAATCAACCATAAAATCAAAGGGAAATGCTGATAGATCTCCACCGTCTAGAACATCAAAGGCAAACCCGTCTTCAGGGAAAGAAGAATTTGGCTCAGCGGGTGAATCATCGTTGAACAGGCGGCGGAAGTCATCGTCAGAAAGAGGAGCTGCAACGTCATTTGCAGTTGAAGGTTCTTCGGAAAAGTCGAAGAGAGGGAGGGCGCTTCCATCTCCTTCGAGACCTCCGACGGACACTGCAGGTCACACAACACCGCTGCAGGATGTTGTGTCGCGTCGGAGGCTTCAGCCAGAGTGGAATTCTTGAGGGTGAGGGAGTAGTCGGTCACAGAGGGGGTGGGAAATGGGATTCGTTCCACGGAGAGTTCGTCGCCTTCCTGCTTGAAGAGGGTGGGCGTGACGGTGAGAGATTCAATGGCGGGAGAGCTGGCTTTGGGAGTGGCGCTGCGAGATCCGCGGACCTCAGCGGAGAGTTGAGCCACCTTTTGACTGAGGCGGTTGTTCTCGGTCTCCATCTGTGATAGCCGCTGTATAAGGAACTGGTTCTGTTGTTCCATGCGGATCTTCTCGGTCTCAAGCTTCTCCATCTCCAGTATCTTGCGTTCGCGTGATGATTGAGCGGCCGCGCGGTTTCGGAGGATCCGTTCTATCCGACGCTGCTCTTTCTCATCATCTGTCTTAGCGCGTTTGCTATCTCTGTTAGTGATGATTCGCGAGTGGGCGAATGGAGGGCACACATACTGAGGAGGTAGATTTGTCTTTGGGGTTGGGAGTTCTTGTCCCCAAGACTTTCTCTTCTTTGCTGGCTTCTTCTCGTCCTCTTCCTCATTGATGTCATCCTCTGGCTCTGGCGAGTCCAGTGATGTATCTGCGGGGGAGATTGTGTACATTTCGGGATCAGGAGATGTTGGCGAAGTGTCCAACGGGTTGATAGTGTCGGCCATGATATTGCATACCGGTGCCGGATGCAAGGTTCTGTTCAGATGAAGACACTTGAGGGGTAAGATGAGATTAACCTAGTGAAGGCCACGCTGTCATCATGGCACCGGAGATCCAGACTCCGGGGAAATTGAGTCAGAGGTGAGTCAGCAAGAAGAGAGAAAATGGAAAGGACAACTGTCTGTTTGCTGGAGGTGGAAGAGTGGCAGAGTGGCAGACTTAAGTAGAGGCCAGTGTGGTTTAAGGGGAGGAACGCAGGGGACTGTAGGTACAAGGTGGCGCATACATTACACTATGATAGGGGAAGTACCCATTTGGTGTAAATTACGTATCATTTCCCCCCTGCGCAGACGAGGCACCGGTGCGGACGCTGGTAGGTTCGATGATATGCCGCACATATCGATCGCCTAAGCAACCACAGATTGATGCGCTTGTATTTGTAGTTGATGGTGTAGTAAGTTGATAGGTTGAGTAAAATGCTTGCCACCTGGACGCCGCTGACTTCCCGATCATGTGAGAGGGTATGAAAGCAACTAAGCGCAAAATTGTCTAAAACCCGGAAGGCTTCTAACGTAACTGTGACCGGTTTGCAGTGCTTAACAGTTGGGCGGAAATCTAGCCCCAGTTTTGCTGAGATGATTTGGGGGGACAATTCGCCCCCTTATTTAATGCCGATCTGAAAGGGTATCTATCTACCCACTAAACGGCCCCTTAGAAAAGCTATCTTTTTGTTCCAGACCCTAGCGTACCACAGGCTGATTCAGTGCCTATACACTCCATCATATGTTTTTGTATGGTAAAAGGGGCCACTTCGGGATACCCAAGTCGAAGCATGCCAATATCTGTCCTCAAGGCTATGAGACTCTCTCAACAGCGACCTCCTGAACAGTCCTTGAACCAATAATCTCAATTGATTTTCGCCGGTATTAGTGCGTACAGATATTCTGTGGTTCCTGGAAACATTTAGCTTTAAAAGAGCTGTCACGGTACGCCGGAACATACAGTGACAGCAAATGTTTTAACACACCCTTGGACGGACCGCTTTTGAGACCGCCTATTGTAAACCGAAGAGCAAGTTTATGATATCTTACTTTTCAAACATTCTTGTTTCAGTTGGTGCTTTTCATAGAAGGTGTAATTCAATTCAATACACAAAGGCCAAGTGTTTCATTAAGAAACAAGTTAAAGGGTGTTGAAAAATCCGAATTTTTGACCGGCAGAATCTAAAAATTCAGAGGGGTGTTAAAACATTTGCTGCGTCACTGTATCTACCCTGCTGAATTACACGGGGATTCCGTGATTCTCTGTCACGGCCATTTTTTAGGCTTTCAGATATCACGCAAGACTTCAGGGCTTGCGTTCTTAAGACGCTGATAGATGAGACTTGAAGGCCTTAACCAATGAGGAGTATCACCGCCGTCACGGCCATATCTTGTAAGGTCCACAGATCACGCAAGACTTTAGGGCCGATATTTTCTAAGGAAATTCCACGCTTCTAGCCACACCTTCCGAGCCGCAAAGTCATTGATAGCTATAGAGTACTCTAAATACGGTTTATCATTGGCACTTAGAGTATCTCTTACTAAGACCAATTAAAGCTGAGAAGGGCCATCAGTTCCTATTAGGCGTTATGCTTCGAGAGACGACTCAAACCGAATCAAATCGAGAGACGTAATACGAATAGAGGCATATTCTAAGATTCAACCGAATCGAACTTCGAACAATTATTCCGCCCTGACGTTGACCTTTGGCAGGCCAGACTACCACTCTTCTATCGTTATAGCCCCTCATTGTAAACCGCGACGTCTGCTAAAAAGAGTATCCACTCGGATAGCGCCCCTTAGTTGGAGGCTAAGCTCGGCACATTCGCCCAATGGCTGCGTGCTTCCATTTAGGGCTCCGAAAGGAATAAATGAATGCGAATATAGGGCATATTCATATTCGCACCCCGCGAATATGAATAAATGAATATCGTATTCGCGCGAATAAGCGCATTATTCATATTCGCATTCATATTATTCATATCATGCATTTTGCGCGCATTAATGGATCTTCCGTTTCCCCGGTTTTTGTATTACAGAAAAACACGTTTCCACTAGCCAACTTGTATTTCAAGTGCGATCACGGCCTCGGTCAAGCATAGTAGAAAATATTTCCCATGCAATCCATGTTCTGAAGTATATACCCTATATTGTAGGGCTCGGTAAGCTCTATATATTCTGCGTCATTATTTTTCGTGATTTTTTATAGGTAAATGTCTAGTTTTGGTGATCAACGGTTGCTACAGAAAGTCGAGCGAAATTATATATATCTACAAGTCGTCTTTCCACATATTTGCTGCTCTAGTTAAATCGACTACCATAACTTCTCTTGTTCCCACTCGATCTACTCCAAAGTTTAGATTTATTATAACCATGACTATTGGCACGTAAAAACGCGTTTATCATGCCACCTTAACTCACTTCTCATGCAGGTTACAGATTGTTTACCATGAGAGTCGCGAGTGAGAAACCGCCGCGTGTAAAGAAAAGACCTATCAACTTTCCACTTTACTGGGATTCGCATCAGGCGAAAGCATAGCTAGTGTTTCCCCATCATTGTTTCATTCTCACCGTTCATTTCCGACCCGCCATGCTATCAAGTATTGTCGAGTGATACTAAAGGTGTGCCCCGCCTCGCTCCCAGGTACCACTTGGACTACTAACACTGAGCAAATACAGAATGGCATCCTCACCTAACCCATTTGTGCGAAAGACGCGTGGTCTTCCGCGTCGCGACTACAATGCTCTGAACAATGGCACACCCTCCCTACTCCCTGAGCCATGGGAAGGAAATATTCGTGAAATAGAGAGCCCCTGCTCACCAGCACCATCCGAGTTTACAGAAGGCGAAGAGACGTCCCCATCCGTGCTGTCCTTACCCATTCCCAGGTCTTCGCCCGCACCGCTAGATCCCACGCTATCAGGGTTGACTAGCAGTCAGAGTAGCCCACCGCCTTACAAGAGACGAAAAGCCAAGTCATATTCTAGCTGGACCCTCGAGCATTTCTGGATCACAGAGCTAGACAACACCTGGCGTCGAAAGGGTGGGCCACCAAAGAAGGATCGGCTCTTAGTCTGTAGGCAGTGCAGTTGGTCATCCAGGGATTCGGCACGCTATGGCTCCACTTCGAATTTGTTGGCCCATCTCCAGGCTAAGCACCGCATCAGTTCCGGATCAGACATCACGTCATCGTCAACTATCGGAACGACCCTGGACAGTTTTTTGACACCTGCAAAAGAAAGGGCGGGCCTTGAACAAATGCTGATACAATGGGTTGTCCAAACGAGACAGCCGTTTACGGTAGTGGAGCATCCGGCATTTAGGGCACTTTTTGAAGCGACAGGGGCTATATTACCCATCAAGACGGCCGACACTCTCTTCAACAGGATCAAGGAGGAATTTCGCAAAAACCGGACTTGCGTGAAAGAAGAATTAGCCAGTAGTAGTCGCACGCTTGCGCTGTCTCTTGATGTTTGGACATCGGAGAATCAGATAGCGATCATGGGCATCATTGGCCATTGGATCTCACCCGAGTTTGAGAAGCGGGAAGAGCTTCTGGAGTTTACTGACATATGTGGACCGCACTCTGGGGAGAACCTTGCGGAAATTGTGATTAGAATGCTCGAGGAACTAGACGTCGCGCCAAAGCTCCTCACAATTACGGGGGATAATGCTGCCAACAATGGAACTCTCTGCGACAGTCTTCACGCCGAGCTTCTCAAGAACTATGACGATAAAGACGACCAATTTCGCATCAGACCTCTTATGCGGTTTCGTGGACGGCAGAGCTTCATTCCTTGCCTTGCCCACGTCATAAATCTCATTTGCAGGGACGTACTTGCTTCCCTGAGGGCCGGCTCAGCTCGAGAGGCGAAGGTTATACTGGACGACATGGCCACACAAAGTAGCCCAACATTCACCTCTGCCCACAGCACGAAGGGAGCAATCATGAAGATCCGGCTGCTGACCCTATGGGTTGCCCGCAGTCCACAGCGCCGCCAAAATTGGAAAGATGTGTCACCAGCCAAGCAAGTGGGCTACGATGTTGACACTCGATGGAACTCAACCTATATCATGATAGCGGACGCCCTTCGGCTACAGAAGGAACTTGGACAATTTGTTCGGATGCATCCAGAAGTTCACGCCCTTCAACTAAACGAGAACGAATGGTCGATTCTTCAACAAGTAGCGAAGGTTCTTAAGCCATTCTGGGATCACACCAACTCCGTATCAAAATCTTGTCCCACGATTGTTGAGAGCTTGCCTATCTATTGGAGTCTAGACGACCTCCTTGACGAGGTTCAAAAAGCCGAAGGTGATTTTGAAGGTGTGGATACTGAGATCCGGGATGCGGTGGAAAGAGGAATCCAAAAGATGAACAAGTTTGCGAGGAAGATGGACACCAATCTTCTTTACTACGTGGCTTCCGTCCTAGACCCGCGTATTAAATCGTCTTTGATTGGATCGCAGATGAGCGAGCAAGATGCGGGACTGATCATCTCTCAAGTGCGGGAGTTCCTAAAGAGGGAGTATCCGCAGGAGTTGTCCATGTCGTGTGTAGTGGATCGCCCGCCGGGAATGTCCGAGACTATGTGGAGGACGCTGCGAAAAGTACAGCCATCACAGCGGACGCTTCTTTCAGACATTGATAGATATCTAGACGCGCCACCGGTGAGTTGGTCCCACCATATGATTGACGATGCAGACGAGGAATGGGTTCTCAAATGGTGGAAGGCAAATGTATTTAGCTTTCCACTCATGGCAAAGGCAGCCCGAGATTACCTGCCAATTCCATCAGCGGAGGTAGGGATTGAACGCGAGTTCAGCAATGCCAGGGATGTATTGGGGCTCAGGAGACACTGTCTAAATGCGGAGACTATGCGGTGGCTTATGCTACTGAAGGGACAGTATCAAAAATAGCGTTCCAAAAAAGTGATTGTGATAATATTAAGATTTATGGGAA